GGGATGAACTGGGCTCAAATAGATCAGAATGGATACTTAAACAGAATTGCGTGAATAGCTCTTCTTTTTTCCTTTTTTTTCTATGAAGAGATCATAATAGGTAAAAAAGATCAAAAGCATACCATTTGTATATCTTCAGAAGAGACTATTCTTCCATCTCCACTGGACATTTTTGCGGCTTCAAACCAAATATTACTGCAATACAGGATTTGGAATTTGTCAGTAGTAGTCTACACCATAGAGCTTCTGCGAATCATCGTATATCTCAAAAGCTAGTCAATGGCACCTATTATTAAAATTTGGAAAGAACAGACTCCGAATCAGCATTTAATGTTTCAATATGCATGGAGAGAGTTGGAAGAGAAGAACTGGGAGCAGAGATATACCAAATTTCCAATGCAGTCAAAAGGTCATCGACGAGAGGAACGATGTGTGGCTATATATGAAATAAAAACATAACGAGTTCAAGTGATGCAAAAAATTCTTCAGGCCATGTTCCTGATGGAAACAGGGCTTTGAGAACTCTGCTGTCAGAACCAATAGAATATACCAACACTCCACCTTACACGAGACGTATAACGTGTGTTATAATTTCTCTTTACTTTTTACATCTATTTGGGCAGGAACAATGTTTACAAGCAAAGGGAAATACAAGGACCCCCCCACCCCCCCCCCAAAACCCAAAAAAATACTATACAGAACCTAATTTACTCAATTCAGGACCGCACAAAAGCCCAGTAATCCCACAGTTTTAATCGTGTGAAGCATAATGAAACGTTAGACTATTGTGCCCGGCGGTTAATTAAAAGCATAACTCTCACGCCATGCAAAAACAGCCTTGCAGAAGTTGCAAAAGCAATTAAGAAATAGAGCTATATTTTGCTATTTTAAGCCAAGAACTTCTCAAGCTCCAAAACAGGGAAACAATTCATTCTAAGGTGGAAGATTTCTAATATCACTCATTTTCCCTCATTTACCCTCTCTAGGGACTACATGTTTATGATGATTTCCAGCTGTATGTCTTACTTATTCCTCAGACCAATAAACAACATATAAAAATAGTAGGCCTATGAGCTAACTTTAGGAACCTTGAGAAAATATGACTTGAAGAGGTATGGAGACCAAAAGTAAAAAATCACTGAGGTTAAGAAAATTGACAAAATAATGTTCAGAGTGTCCACATCTTAGCGAGTTCTATCCACTCTTGGTGAAACCTCCATGGCAGAGAAGAATAGAACTATAGCATCATTGATGTGAGAGGAAAACCAAAAGGATGTTAGCAGACATTGGTTGAAGAAAATTTCAGAAGCGCACTTGAAGTGGATGAACTAGAAAGAAAAGCAAACAAATGAACCAAGTCTTTTATGAACCATAAACAGATCTTCCCTTACTCACCAATCAAGAGTTTTTCTCTGTTCCTCTCAGGTATTGTCGTAAGGCCCTTAATCTAGGATTTGAAGACAGCTTTTTGATTTTATATCCTTCAATATATGATTCGTTAAAGTATGTCCATGCAAGTGGCTGCCGTTGTATTTAGACCATGACCCTGTTATAAGCCCATATTACTTTATTAAACACACAAGGCAATGACCTTAATGAGAAAACACTAAAAGATCCAATGTAAAATCAGTTTATAAAACTATCCCCACCAAAATCAAGCAAAGCACCTATAACACTCAAAATTGCTCATTAATTGGGTGTAGACCATCTCAATCTGAAGGAAAGGAAAGCAAAATGAAACGGCACTACCAAAAATTCAAGACAATCAAAACATAAATCAAATCACTAGAGTAGCAAAGATCCTAACTCCAAGTATCCTATGCCATCATTCTTCATATACCCGGATTACACATGAAGAGAGGCATTGGAAATAATAGTAAATAATACTAGTGTGAGAACAGTTGTAGGAGATACATAAGAGTTTCTCATAACCGTGGGTTTACTCAAGGGATCGGTGGGAACCGTACTTGTTTACCCTAGTTATGGATGAACTAACTAACAAAATACAAGATGCGGTCCCATGAGGTATGTTATTTGCTGACGATATTGTGCTAATTGATGAAACAAGGGCGTCAACCAAAGGATTGAACTATGGAGAAGCACTCCAGAGAGTAAGAATTTTAGGATAAGTAGAAGTAAGATAAAACATATGCACTGCAAATTATAGACAACATTAGAACAATGAATTGAGGTGAAATTAGATGGGATTAGTGTCTAAATGCAAACAATTCAGATCTATAGGCTCGTTGTTCCGAGATAATGGAATGATAGATAAAAATGTTACACATTGAATCAAAATCGAATGGTTAAGATAGAAAAGTGCTACAGGAGTGATATGTGATAGAAGGATGCGTACCAAAATGAAAGGTATGTACTATAGAACAGTTACAAGACCAGCAATGTTATATGGGAGTCAATGTTGCAGAGATGTGGATGCTAAGATGGATGTATGTTCATACAAGATTAACAAGATTAGAAATGATCACGTTCGTCAAAAAGTTCAAGTAGGGCACATCAAGGATAAACCAAGAGAAAGTCACTTAAGATGGTTCAATCATGTCACCCGTCGACCTCTAGATGCATCGGTCACAGGTGTGAAACAATAATGAGTGAAAGTGTTAAAACAGGACCAGATATACCTAAAATCACAAGGAATGAAATTCTCTTAAAGGACCCACAATCTCTAGGGATCTATGCAAACTTAGCGAGAATAGGACGCAATGGAATAAAAATTGTATATGCGACACATATTACTAGTTGAGAATACGTTTTAGACATGTTAGCATATTTACTGCAGGTCTATGCTTTGTAAGATTGGTATATATTGATCTGAGATATACAAAGCAGTGGAATACAAAATATTAGTAATTGAAAACAAAAATTAAAGATAAAGTTTGATTAAAAGTAGTTAAAGATAGTCTGAAAGTGTGAAACCAGAAGAAATCTAGAATCCTAGATGGATCGCCTCCTAAGAGCGATGAAATAGAAACCAATAAACAAGCCATCAACATGAAACCAAACCACTACTATGGTCATAATCAAAATCCACATGCACACCCCTGATTATCATAAAAATAAAAATAAAATAAATAAAAATTACCACCCCTGGTATGTCGTCATGTTTTTCTGCCTATAGCCTTATTACACATGAATAGAAAATCTTTCTCCATTTCTTAGTATACCTGCTCCACACCCTAGTCCCAACTGCGAAAACCCACACAAAACCTCACAGCCAGAAGCCAAAACGAGGGCATAACTGCTCAAGGTTTGTCAAATCATAAAGACTAATTAATTTTTATAAGTGAGCTCATAATCTTGGGCCAATAAAACCAAATGGAGAGAGAAAAGTAAACAGGATTTTAAGCACAGCCATAAAAACTAATCCTTTCTTATATATGAGCTCATAATCTTTGTCCAAGAAATCACAAGGAGAAAGTAGCAGCTTATGATTATGAAATCAGCAATAAAGACAATTCTTGCTTATATTTGAGCTCTAAGCAACCAAACAGAGAGCATAGCAGTTTAGGGTCACAAAAAGCTAATCTTTTCTTATATTTGAGCTGACAGTAAAGGGATTAAACTTGTAAAATCAGCCATAAAGATTGAGCTATGAAAGCAAATGGAAAGTGCAGCAACCTTAGGATTGTAAGATGAGCGACAATACTAATCCTTTATTAGGAAAGAGCTCAAAGAGTCGGACAACTCGAAGGGATAACCAAAGCTAAACTCCACAGTCGGTCCACCCAGGGCAGTTACAATAACAACTATCCCCAATACTAAACTAGTCGGGGTCGGCGAGAACTAAGAAAAGCTCCGAGAAAACAAAAACCCAGAAAACTTATACTAGCATTGAACTGGACATACAAACTGAATTCCGTTGCTAGTCAACCATAAGTTGAGTTGAAATTCAGAAATTATTTCTTACTTGATGAAGAAGAAAAGGAGCGATGCGATTGAAGTGGTTGTAGTTCCTCAGTATTGCGGAAACAAGTGTTGGATTCCTCCAGCATACTGAATTTTCCGCCTTTTTCTTTGGGGCAGTTGCACACATTCTATGCTGTTTACAAATTAGTCAATATTTGTTTTTATTACAAATTTATCTAAAAAAATCAAAATTGAAATTCAGTCTTTTAAAGTGGCTACTTAATGTCTTTTTGAAATAAATATCTTCGTGGGTTTAGAATAGGAAATAAATAACCAACCGTAACGAGAATTTTTCTTTTCCTACCAAATTATAGAATAATTTTACTAACTTTTATGAATTTGTTGGTCGAGAATACACATTACAGACACACATTTGCTTCTTTACTACTCTCTATATAAATTATTTTACCAATTTTATTGTGATTGTTACTATTGGAGAAAAAAATAGCATAGGAATTGCATTGAAATAGTTCATTAGTAACATCTGAGTTTAGTTTGTATACAACAACAACAACGACCCAGTATAGTATCACAAATGGGGTCTGGGAAAAATAGTGTGTACGCAGACCTTACCTCTACCCTGATGGGGTAGTAACATTTGAGTTTAGTTTGTATAGATATTTTAAAAATTTGCATAATTAAATCACTTAAAAGATAATTATAGATAATGGTTTGTGGATTAGTAACTTAAATTAAGCATATTACTTTCTACAACATGCTCAAGTATAATAATGGGATATAGAAATCTATTATTCCACGTTTTAAAGATCGAGATGTCCACTAGTTTGAAGTTTGAACAAAGGGAATGAAATGGGAGAATATAATAGAGTAATTGTGAAAAATGCACAATCTTTCTTCCTTTTCAAACTAGTCTTAAACGGAAGGATGATTTTATGCTCTACAATTTTAGTTACTAATGATAATGGCATTATTCATCATCCAAAGAAGGCAAACTGGCATCTTAATAGAGCATAATATTGACAACGGGTGCCTGCGAAGTGGAGCAATAGCTACTTTTTAGCCCGCTATTTAAAATATATTCATAATTTTTAATGTATTTAAAGATTAGTCATTTCATCCAAACTTCAGGACTAAGTACCCTAAATTTTCAAATTCAGGATTTAGTAGCCTGGATTTTTGAGCTGCTAATTTGAAATTCGGGACATAAGATTCGAACTTCTAGACACAATAAGTTTGAACTTTGAGGTTTAATCTTGGATGCCATGTTCTGAAATTTGAGCGAAATTAGCTAATTTTTAAATACATTGTAAATTATGGATATATTTTAAACAACATACTTAAAAGTGGGAGAAATTTAAAAATAGCCAAATTTACAAGTGGTCGTTCAAAAATAGCCCAGTTTCAAAAGTAATCGAAATCTAGCCACTTTTCATGTAAAGATAAATCTGAGGGAAAACACTGTTCAAAACTCGGAAAATACACTAGTATATTATGCTAGAGTTCTACATAAGGATATTTGAACTCCAGCATATTATACTGGAGTTCCAGGATAAGTATGTTGGAACTCCAGCATAATATGATGGAGTTCCAGCATAAGTACACTAGAACTCCAGCATAATATACTGGAGTTCCAGCAAAGTATATCGGTCCAGTATAATGTGCTGGAAGTTCATACACAAGTGCTCGAATCTCCAGTATATTATGCTGGAACTTTTCGTGTGTTGGAGTTCCAGCATAATATGCTGGAAGTTCGTACATAGGTGCACCGAACTCCAGTATATTATGCTGCACCGGTCTCTGTTGCAGCAAAATAGTAGCTATTTTTTTATTGACTTGATAAATGCTGGCTATTTTTGAATGACCAGTCCAAAAACTGATTAGATCGTGCTATTTTTACCTTAAAAGTGGCTACCTAGTGTCATTTCCACTCCACGTCATGATATAATGACTTGCTTGATTAGTGGGCTGCCTTAAATTAATTATGAACTGACAACGAAGAGTGAAAATAAAAGTTTGACGCTCTCAAAGACGCTATACAGTAATTTTGGTAGAGTCAAAATGAAGATTTCAATGTGAATTATGAAATTTAGAGCACATGTGGTGACAAATTTAATGGGAGTTTTTTCTATATATACTATGATAGGAATTTATTAATTTATTTTCTCTAAGTTCTGTAATTTTCAAAAAGTATCTAGGTTTTCTTACAAATTGTATACATTCCCTTCTTAAAAAACTCTCATCCCATGATTAGTACCTTCAATGAAAAGATTCAATTATATCCTTTCCTTTTTTCACACTTCTCCTAATTTCATGCGTCCTAATTTTTTCGGTACGCAGATCTCCTCTTCTCTCTCTTCGATAGTTGCACGTCTTCAACAAGAAGCTGGTAATTTTGCTTCAGTTGTTGAATGATGTTTGTTGGAACCTTCAAATTCTAGATATAATACCAAACTACATATTCTATGTTCCTATTATCCATATAGTGTTAGAAAAGTGAATACCTAATCTAACAAATCCAATAATACAGAACTGATTTCCATAATAGACACCAAAAAGATACTTTTTCTTTGCTGTTAAAAATCTATACACACGGCATAGAATGTCATGAGATGACAAAAAAGAATCAGTTGCTAAAAGTTTCTTCAATAATTCAAAAATTGTTAAACTCTAGCAAAATTATTACTAATCTACATATTCTATGTTCCTATTATCCATATAGTGTTAGAAAAGTGAATACCCAATCTAACAAATCCAACAAATCCAATAATACAGAACTGATTTCCATAATAGACACCAAAAAGATACTTTTTATTACAGTTAGAAATCTATACACACGGCATAGAATGTCATGAGATGACAAAAAAGAATCAGTTGCTAAAAGTTTCTTCAACAATTCAAAAATTATTAAACTCTAGCAAAATTATTACTAATAGGATAATGGCTCATACACAATCCAAATGTGAAATTGGTCACAAACTTACAATTGCTTATCACCATATACAATTATCATACATTTGTGATACAATTTCTGCAACAATTATGATACAAATATAACTATGATACAATCGTGATACAATTTTGATCTTCATCATCTTCAAGTTTCAATCACAACTCTAAACTTAAATTCGGATACAATATTGTAATATAATTGTATTAGTATTGTATCAGGTATTACTTTTAGATATTGATATATCATATACAAGTCAAATACAACTTTGATATAATTGTGATACAATTAGAAATAATTATGATACAATTATCATACAATCGTGATACAATTCAGAAACTTTTCTTCTTCGAATTTCAATATGAAATTTTACCTAAAAAGAACTCTAAACTTAACCAATCTCCCTCAAAATTGAGATATAAACTCCAAGTTATATTCTCAATCGTGCAAGAGCACCCAATCCAAACAAATCACAAATTCGTAAAACCCAAATGTTGAATTCAAAGTTTCGAAACTTTTTAATGGTTGTTAATGGAGAACTCTTTGCTACTGCAATTTTAGAGATAATGTCGATGAATTTTTGTGAAGAGGATGAGAAAAAATCACAAATTCGTGAAATACAAATGTTGAATTCAAAGCTTCGAAATTTTTTAATGGTTGTCAATGGAAAACTCTTTGCTACTGCAATTTTAGAGATAATGTAGATGAACTTGTGCGAAGAAAGATGAGATTTGGATTAATTTGTATAAAAGAGAGAAGTATTTCAAAATCTTTTTGAAAATGGGATGAAAACGTAATTTTAGGGTCTCTATATAATTGATATACATGAGAGTGGGGGGAGGGGGGCTGACATGGGGAGAGGAGAGAGGGGAGAGGGAAGGGATGTATCAGTTACGTCCTAGTTTTAAAAATGCTCTCTTTATTAAGGTTCTGTATATAAATAGTAAATATAGATAGAGAATATAATTTTTAAGGAACCTAAAGAAAAGTGATATATAAGTTTCTATTATAGTACAACTAGGTAAATTTCCCAAATTTAATTGGCTTTCAAGGTAGCTCTCAACAGATATAGTTAGTATTCGTCTATTTCTACTATTCATGTTTTAAGCAAAATTCGTATCTTATACAGGGATGAAACGAGTCTAGTTTCCAACATACCAATAAATATTACTACTAACAATTTTGAAGGCTTAGCCTTTAACCATAGGATACTCAAGGTTCTATGGTTACTTTAAGGAGCATCCATGTCTTAACCCTTCTAATAAACATGTAGTAACCCTTCATATGACAAACGCAAGAATTCAAGAGTAGATGCCTAAAATAATAGCAGGTGAAGCCTATGAAGTCAAATAGAATAGAGCGACAGATTTTTATGCAAATTAAAGAAGTCTTCGACTCCACCAAAAAGGTGCATAGTCCTTCCCAATCCCCTCAACATTGACCTCACACAACCTACTGCCTATTACAAGCCAAATAGCCAATAACATAACCACTTTGACATTTTTTACACAACAATGCACTGTGTAAAGTATTTAAAACTCAAGAGTCAAGACGGCAGTTGATAGGGAGTTTTATGGCAAGTAACCACCTCTGCAAATCCAGCTACCACGTAGGGCAGGCTGCAAATGACCCGATTGTCTGACATGTATTACAACAGCAATGCAAGGCACTGTAACAGGAGTACAGCTGAAGTGGTATTCACATATAATTTTAGGAAGAATAAACAGATCGATAAAGGCGTGAAATAATCACAACCAAAGCAACAAATGAATCACCATTTATAATGTACTCTTTCATAATATCAAAATGTATAATGAAAACAAGATGACTGAACCAAAACTGTGACAAGTGCAGTCTCCCTGACAGCCCTTGAACTTACACATTTGACCAATAAAACCTCTCGCAAACCATGTTCATTAATGCTCCTATCCTTACTGAAGCAAGACTCAACCGCAAAACTTTTAATATACACATTCTACAGACAAAATATAAAGGTTTCCGACCTTGCTCGCATACTTTGCCAAACCAACAGCAAGTCGGCACATAGACTCAAGCCCAAATGAATGACATTAATGAGAAAGAATGGAGTATCAAATATTTGATTCACACGTAGCTACAGGTCCGGCAGCTTCATCGTATTGGAGAAAAGCTTGTTAGCTTCCACAGCATTACGACGATAGCATTGATTGCAGTGCTACCTGCTGTTGAGGCTGCAAGGATGACCATATTGAAGCCAGGGTGGCTGGTGGTAGTGTTTGCTGAAGCTGCCTCAACAGAGTAATCATCCTACTACCAGTCTGCTCTGTCGCCAGATCCTTACCGGCACATAGAACCTACAGGAAAAAAAAAATCACATTACAACATGGCAATGGCCGATAAAAACAAAATTCTTGATTTTCAATCATCTATCTAAAAAATGGGCATAGAGAGGGTGAAAGACAACATGAACAAAAGACAACTATTGGTGAAGTATCAAAAGAGAGACTGAAAAAGATGTTTCCATCGCTCCACTACCAACCGAAACAAAGAAAACAAGAATCCAAAAGAGAAAAAACAAAACAAAATAGGATAAGCATCACAATCCTTGAATTTCAAATGAACAATTGGATCCAACAACTACTGGTTCAGAATTGGGATTGTTTGAAGAATGCTATTTTCTGATGACAAGTATCAACCTAAACGGGTAGTGTAAATATCTAACCTCAGCAAAAACTGAAACAATTTTTGGGAGGTACTCGTTGTTGGCACCCAGAAGCTCTCTGTCTGACCTGCAAGCAGGAAAATATGATTAAAACATAAAGAATCAGATTACAAGCTACCTGACACAGAGAGGAACAGTAGATTGACCGCTCTCAAAGCAGGTCAAGATGACCTTGACCGATAAAACAGCCATAGCTCAAAGAGACTTACATATGTTATGAAGAAAGGGTTAATACACTCCAACTTTATTAGAGGGAATATTTTCTTTGACAAATATTTTATCATCAAAACTAAACCTTATTAGCAAAGATGGTCCCAAGCGTCCCTGGATTGAATCCTTAGCAAGGGCTAAGCTAAACCTATGTAACGCTATGGGAACAGCTCTTTTTGTCCGCTTTCCACTATGCTATATGGATGGGCTACCTTGTGAAATAAAACATCATATGTGAGTAGCATCTAGAATAGAATCCAGAGCAACTAAGAAAAAAAATTTGAGTAGCTATTCAATGTATTTAGAAGCTTCATCGGACCAAAACAAAGTAACAAACAAACTAAAAATGTCTTTGCAGCTCCACTAGAATGCTAAACTCCTAACCATTATTAAAATGCTGCTCAAATCTTATGTTTGGCTAAAACTAGATTATTGGCATTTGGTTGAAAGTAGCCTTTCAGGTTTTTCAAACTAGAATTTTTTCTTTTTTTGAAGCCCGAAAAACAAACTACAGAAATGCAAAAAAAAGTTACACCAGTTTTCCGACCAAATGCCCCACGACTTTGTATTCAGTTCATTTGCATATATGCAAATTTGGATCAGATGGAACTAATGATAATATGCGGAGCAATAAGTGGAACAACCTATCAGTTCACAGAACCCAAGACAACTATGGCTTAACACCACCAATAAATTGATTGACATCTTTGATCCACGACCTATGAACAGGATACAAGTTACAGCAAACCGAACCAATACCTTTCGACCATTGAACAAAGTTGGTCGTGAACAACCTTGGCTTCGATCAGGTCACCTTTTATCGGCAGGGAATTCAACCAAGCCGGAATAACCTGCCAAAAAGTCTCTGGTGTGAGAATCAAAGAAATCACAATAACATTACAAGGTTCTCCAACAACAAGCAAAGGCTATTGTTATAGCAAAATCAAAGACATTTGTATAAAGTTAAGCGAATAAGACTCAAGAAATTATAAAGTATGTGATTGATGGAAGATAGAAGTTGATTGCTTACCATTCTCACTAAAAAGCAACAACATAAATTGTTTATAAAAAAAGTTATGTGCCGTCCAATCACCAATTAGATTAAATTTAAAGTCTCTACTCTTACTGAAATAGTTACAGTCAAACCTCTCTATAACAGCTTTGTTTGTTCCGAATATTTTTGGATGTTATAGCAAAGTGTTGTTATAGAGAACATATATTATAACATAACATAAAAATTGGTTCCGAAAAATCTGGCTTTTATAGTGAAGTGTTGTTATATAAGGATGTTGTTATAGAGAGGCCTGACTGTATTAGAAGTGTTCCGAACGCTTGAACATTGACACATTGCAAAATGGAATAATAACGCCTTTCACCCATTCAATCCAAGCACAATTTGTTTCAAGCATAACTAGCTAAAATTGTAGAATTTGTACGCACATTGACAAAATAAAGTTAGGATTTACAGAAAAAATACCTGGGCCGAGTCGATACTGTCACGATGAAAATTACATATCTTCCCTAATGCTGAAACAGCATTGTCATATGCCATTACATTCTCAGGATGTAGAGCATTTGGATGCCTTAAAACAACATTGAGCCTTGACAGAGCCTCTGAATTAAGGTAATGAAATGAAGTTAAAATAGAGCACATTACACATGCCGCCCTCCCTACTGCTCCAGGAAAAAAAAGGAAAGGTTTCCAACACCATACAATACCTCCTACTAAAGACTTGAAAACAGAGCCACCATATTCTGCACATACACCAAGTCCATATACAGCAGCCTGGATATGACATTAATTGGGTTCAGATAAATGAATTAGCATGTCAAATTGTCTAAAGTAGGCCACAACCATTTAGCATATACAAACCTGTCTGACATCCGGGCTCTCATCATTGCATGCTTCCAAAAGGAAAGGAAGATATGTGTCATAATACCTAGATTGCAAAGGAGGAAACAGTTGCGTCTAAATTCACATCATAATAGCTCCAATTAAAGACAACCTGCATAAAATAGACTTACTTTAAAGCTGCTTCATGGCACTGCTCTGCAACATCATCAAAGATACAAATTGCTATTCTCCGTTCTTCAGCTGTTTTATCCTTGCCCTTAATAGATGCAGGAGGGGAAGTTAATACAAATGAGATGTATAACCAAATTAAAAGAAATTACTTGGCAAGTGTTACATTGGAAACCATGCAAGATACTTACCCACATAGGCATTAGATATGATGTGAGCTCATCAAAGAAAGGCAAGAAAGCTGCCTTGAATGTTTTGATCAGTGTACCCAATATTTCACCAACCTATACAGATTCCAATAAGATAAGCCTGATAAATGTGAAAGACATGTATAGCGATAAACTTATCTACCACTCATTCTTGAGCTTCAATCTTATGTCAAACATACTTGGTCAAATACTTCTTCTTCTTGCTCATTTTCCTCCCTGAGCAATTCACTCTCCTCAGCATCAAAGTCTTCAGCTTTTGCTCTCTCTGCCCGTTCTCTCTTTCGACTTGAACTGGCTGTGATGACCTGCTTTATCTCATCCACAATGCTTCGGACCTGCCCTTCATCCAAGAGTGGTCCAGATATCTGAAGAAGTCCAGAGAAAAATTCATAATAAGATTGAAATATAAAGCATCCAAGGAGTAAGAGCAAATTCATATATGTTTCAAGACATAATTAGGTCCTGGAAGTGCAAGTTCAACAATCATTTCCAGGTTTCTAGTAATTAATTGTTCCCCAAGACGTCTTATAGCTCTCTCAAGTTTTATGACCAACTCATATAAACTATAACTCACTTTATACAAAGTAGACTATCAATAAACAGGAATTTTGTTAAGTCTACATTATTCTTTTGATAAAGCAGAATCTTCAAGTAATCACGCGCCAAAATGGTGTCAAAAATAAGTACAAATAGCTGAGATGGTTCAACCAGTCATTCATCAGATCAACCTAACTAACAAGTGTTTCTTTCTTTACACCAAAAGTATAACTGGAATAGATATATCTTTTAATAGTTGATAGATCGATCGGATAACCTTCTATTTCTTTCATTCCAAATAATCCAGAAAAGACCAGTGGAAGTCTATCAACATTGCTCCACCATGCCTTCTGCTAATACCACCAACTTCTAGCTGTGACCAGACTAACGTAGTTTTCAAGTGCAACAGCTGTTGTGCTAGTCTGCTAGATAACTCCAGATTTACTCAAAAAGGAGGCTCTGCTGGAACAGAAGCCCTCTTCTGTAAGAGTTGAAGTGGTTTTCTTTTGCTTGAAGTACAACATCCCAATTAAACCTTGTTAACTGCCTCATTTCAATCTCGGGAAAAGGTGTACTAGTAGGTTAGAATGATACAACAATCAATATATAATTTACTGTGTGAGCGCCATTTTTTTGGGATTTTCGTAAAGCCACTAAAATCAGAAAAAAAGGCTATATCAAGCATGGATCTGACGAGAACGTAAGCTGTAATGGTTAACTAAATTATTATATTGAGTATTTAAAGAAAAAAGAAAAAGTTCAATGAAAGCAAACCAATAATTCTATAGAAGTTACAGTTACTGGCATCAAAGAAAGAACAATCTTAAAATAACCAACCTGTAGACACTCATTCAATGCATCCAACATACTTGCACATATTTCGGTATCAGGCTCCTGTGATGGATAGAAGCAGAATTGTTACTAACTAGCAATCCAAACCCAAAGCACCATAATCATTTCCGAGAGCAAAAATAAAAGCAACACAACAAATCTCAAAAAAAAAAAAAATTAACAAGTTCAAGTCAACCTTATGCAAAGCCTCCACCAAAGCTGGGACTATGTAGTCGGCTAACTGCTTGACGTAGGACTCATTTCGGCCCTGAGCAATCCCTTTCTCTACAGCCAGTTTAGCAGACCGTAACAGCTCCGGCATAGCTATAACCAATATACAGTATCATTTCAGTAATTGGAAAAATTACAGATAACCAAACTAGAGCAAAATAAAATAGATATAACAGAATCCCACCTGAAACTGCAGCTTTCCTGACTTCCTCATGGAAATAGAATTTCAGAAGCGGAACTAATGTAGGAGCGACCTGTTTCAAGAAGTAGCATACTTGTTTAACTCGAAATCCAATAAAAGACTTCACTCAACGCCATATAAAACATCCAAGTAATTAATGATGCCAACCTGGTCAATCCACGGGTAGAAACCTTCCTTTAGCTCATCAGCATAGCAGCATAGCATATTACAAGCTGTAGCCTTCTCCTCTAGGACACTTGTTTTGATGCCTATCCTTTTATCCCCAAGAGTTATGGTCTCCATGCTGCATCACATAAAACTTAGACAAAGTCTTCGGAAACTCCAATTATCTAAACCACTACATGGTCGCCATCCATAAAACCAAAGTCCTAACATAGCAAACTATGTCCTCAAAGTTTATTCTATATGAAAACTAATGAAAGTAAGAAAAGGTCACAGTTGTAATCGACTTCCATAAGAAAACATCAGTTGTTGAAGCAAAAGAATCCACCACTAGCATCACATCTTAGTATTATAGTGACTCTGTTACCTTTCGACAAACTGGTGCGAATAACCCTCGTGGTAACTATACTAAATGTGGGATGTGCATATACCATATTTAGTGGCATGGGAAAGTAATTAGCAATTTTACATGAGAAAGTCATAAGCCCAAAGTATCATATGGCACATTATTTGCCAATTCTGACTTCTACCCACCCCCCACCCCCAAAAAAAAAACTCTATACAAGATTGAATATAATAATTACCGGAACTTAGAGAAATGTCAATAACTTTCTAAATTAAATAGGAGGCAAACTTCATTCTAAAAGATTTACCTATCGTCATCTGAATCATCAAGTTCATTGTCTGAATCTGCAGATGATATGGTCACATCAGGCTTTAGTTGAGCAGATTGAAGCAAAGGAGGCATGACTACACTCATGTATGGAAGGAAATCCTGTCCCAAGCACTTGCAAAGTCTGGCCCAAGCCTACAATGTAACAAAAAATGTAGTGTGACCATGTTAAGATGAAGCTCCCAGATTTAAAACCAAGCGATGTACCCATACCTGTAGCATGTAACTAGTAGTAGGGTCATCTGTCTCCATTTGTGATCCTTGCAATGACATAAGCACTTCCATAACCTTAATGAATACAAAGTTTTAAGAATAAGCTCTATGGTGTAATGCTTTGAAAATTGGACCAATCTGGATAAAAAACGAATGAAGCCACATATCTATAAGGGCACTAACAGATGTGTCTAACCATATAAAACCAGAAAGTATTATCTCAAGTTAAAACTGGAGAACGTGGCAGGAAGCTTATCATGGCCATACGTTCATATTCTCATACTGACCTGCTTTGCGTCATCTCTGAATTTATCTTTGCCTACAGCCATCCCTACCAGACTTATGCACTCCATGGCTTTGGCTCGAAGCATGCGATTAGATTTATCAGTTGCATTTACAAGGATAGTTTTCAAATACGGCATTACAGCATCATAGTACTTCTGGAAGTGCTCCTATTAAAACATCATGTATTAGCCATTACCATCCAAACTGAACTCAAGATATAATGGACAGAGTAACTGCAACAAGGTACTCATAAAAAAATGCAACAAGGTAACACCTGGGATGAATCAGCTACGGAAGCCAAAGCAGTTAATGCTCCCTCTTGCACCATTTGATTGCCATTCTGTGTTTCAGAAGATATTAAAAAAGAAGAGGAAACCATGAATCTCTTGCACTTTTCAATAGCGAGTTTATAATATGATGTTCTCCCGTTTGTCATACCTGCAGAAGTACAAGAAGTTTGCTAACTATTCCATCTAGATAAGGTGTCAGAATTTCTGGCGTGCAGTTCTCACTGAAGTTGAGGACAGCTGATGCAGCATGTGCCTGTGAATATCAAAAATCGCAAAAGGAAAAATTAGTGCTGGTGTTGCATGCATCTAAGCCAAACACTTAACATAGTACCTTAAACAACCTTGTCACTTCAGAGTCAATATCTAAATAATTGGAAGTGCAGTGTACCATTAAAAAGCCAAGACCAAAAACTACATTATTTCAGAAGTTTATTTAAAAGCGTCATCTAACATTCTAGATACGTAAAGATATACGCGTCACAAGGTTGAGTGATTGATCCACATTTCCCATAGTTGGGTGTAGGAAGATATATTTTTGGAGAAAAGAAATGATCATCCTCAATAATTAATCAGGAAGGTTAACATATAAATAACAAAGTATTCTATCATTCTTAATTTGATCAAACCAAAAAAATGACCACGCTAATGATCAACCAAATATACTGAAGTAATATCTCCTTTTTTTATAACCTAGAAATCCCCGACATAGTTCCCACTTAAATACCATGTGTTTGTCTGTGGAAGGGTGCGAACACAAGACATGTGCCTAACCCACACATCCCGTGATGTGCTCTTACCACTAGACCAAAGCCCGGGCTAAAGTAATTTCTCTTTCTTAAGTAGATGTAGCAACACAATTGAAAACCAAACAGGGACGAAATCAAACCATTTGAAGACCTCCAACCACATGTGAAACATAAAACAATTCCCATATGTGTCAAATATTATGTTCTGCTACTGCTTAAAACACATTTTCACAAAAGCTACAGCATCTAATACGGGGTCACCATGCCACCAACACAAACCTGTACTCGTGGATTTTGGAAATCATCCATAGCTGCCGCTAGTGCTGGCAATACACGGTTATGATACTGAACTTGCAAATCTGGACCCAAGTCAGTTGACAACTGGCCAATTGCATTAATAGCTGCCCACCTCACTCGAGGATGAGGATCCTGGAAAGAATTGAGAACCATGTTGACCACTTGCTCCAAATTCTTAATCATCACCTATTACAGGAAAGGCACAGCGTCAAAGATAACAAGTTAAAAACCATAAAACAGTAAGCAGAAGCGTTCAGTCCAACAAACAAACAATGCTTGAGTATGCAATCCAGCAATTGTAAATAAACACTTGGACGAGCACCACATCAGGTAACAGTCCAACAATTAGATTACAAAAAATACTCCACCCGTCCCAAAAAGAATGGCAGGCTTTGGAGTACAAGGTCAACATTGCTTAATTTCAGACATAACTTATATGACTTCTCTCTTTTCTCTTAAAAAAAGAAGGTTAGATATCTGGAAACTACATTTAAAATACTCCAGAGCATATACCAATCAAAAAACTTTCTTCAAAGCACAGTTTTTCATGGTCGAAAAAAGTTTAAAATGTTTTAAAAAGTATAAGTCAAAGATAAACCATTTTGACACGAAAAGTAAAATGCAATTCTTTACATGATTAGCTTTAGGCACTAATGAGAAGAATACCAACAATGGCCAATGAGTGAAAGCAATAAATGACATGAAGCAGATCATTCAGTAATGATAATAGGGTATATAGGACAACAAAAATATAGATGCATGCATACACTTAGAGTGCATCAAAAAGCACCAAAACTCTGCCACAAATTCAGCAAAAATGTTTTTAAGGTCATTAAGACAAGGTCCTCAATAAATATCAATCAACTAGTCAGCTATATGAATATATCTGTCTTTTCTCAACCCTCATATACTGAGGATAAATATTTCTCAGAATGTAGAGTACATATTCAGGCCCGTTCCATTAAGACTAACTCTTTTAAGATAAACAAACAATGGAAACAAATATCTCATCACTACCTTAGAACAACCTTCAGCAATCTGAGCAAGGGCAATGAGAGCAGCATGGTGCTTCTGCCACTCGGGTGCAGCCAAGTAAGAAGGTAACTGTTCTGAAGCAACAGGAACAATAGTGTTACCGCCCAATGCAATAGCTAACCTATCCAAACACTCCTGCCCCACACTATAGTTACTCGTTTCCCCTGCATCCTCATGCTCAGCTTCAGCACTATGCCAAACAGCTTCATCCTCAACATCTAATAACATCTTCATCAAAATAGCAAACAACCTACTAATAAACTGCGGCAATTTCCTCATCATTCCTGGAGCACGTTCCCTTGCCTCAGCCAAGGTAATCACAAATTCAATTGCCAAATGCCTTGTCCCCTCCTCTAGGCTCTCCGCCTCAGCTACCTGCAACATAGCCCCTACGACATCCACGAGCTGTCTCCTCAAGAACCTAGGCTCGGTCCCTGCTAATTCAATCAACAACTCCAATGCTTCTTGTGCTGTAGCCTCTTGACCACTGTTCAAGGCCTCGGTCAACGTTTTCATCATAGCAGGCAACAGATCCTGAAACCTATCCCTCTCGCTTGAGCTGGATAAACACTGTATGAAATTGATGACAGCACTTAATGCGGCAATCCTCACATCCGGATTCGGGGAATTATTCAGTGTCTGCAGGAACACCGAATGCAAATCCTTTATATATGGAACCAAAATTTCACCGATATATTGTGCTAATTGAGCAAATATCAGAAATGCAGACTCCTGTAACTTTGGTGAATCGCTGGTAACACACTGAAACATGAATGGCAGCATTTCAGGCCATTGATTTTCCGGCAGGATGGACGAAGCGAGCTCGGAAACGGTGTCGCACAATTTCTTGATAATCGATTTGGATTCTTCGCGCTGGATACATGTGAGGAGGACAGACTTAATACCGGACCGAGTAGACTCGGTGAGTTTGGGCCAGATGAAGGAGTCGTCACGAGTTAGCAGTTTACGAAGGAGGATAGCGGACATAGCACGGGGCTCGATGTGTGGAGAGGAAGTGAGAAGATTGGCGAGTTTGAGAGCAAGTGAGTTAGGATCGTTCTGCTTGATGAGGTTGAAGATTGACTCAGCTTGGGATCTTTGCTCGTTGGAGGTTGACATGAGGTGGGAGATTAGGGTTTCGAATGGTGCCGGGTCGGCTCCCAGTATGGCCGCCAGCTGGGCTTGTTGGTACTGAGTTGACTCGGAATCCATGACTGATTCGCAGGCTGCAGGAAGAGAGAATTAGGGTTTATCTGATAGAAATGATGGAAAAGAGAGTGAGAGGGAGAGAGAGAGAGAGAGAGAGCGCTACGGCCTATGGGCTATGGCTATGGCAGTGGCTATGGAGGAGTGGTGGCGCTCTTCTCTGTGAAATTCGGGGTTTCTCTCACACACACTCGCACGCTGAGATGTGTGTGTCGCAATGGATATATAGCGGCGAAGAGCACGTAATTGGAGAGGGAGATTTGGAGGGTTTTTGCCTTTGAATTCTTTCTTTTTTTTCCTTTTTTTTTCTTTTTTCTTTAATAGGAGTATAATTTTTTAAATATACTGTATCAAGGATAAAGTGTGAGCTGAAACAGTGACCGGTAAAGTTGAAGTCATGTTACCAGAAGCTCAATCCGTGAAATAACCTTTTGCAAAAATAGAGGGTATCGCGCATAGCGGAAACTTAATGCGTCGGACTGTCTTTATTGTATCAAGGATAAAGTTTGAGGTCAAATACGTACCAACTCTAAAGTTGTCATAATTTTTTTTAATTAAACTTATTTCGTACTAAATAGTTAATTTATATTCAAATTGTATCTACTAGTGATAATGTGATATAGTATTTCAAATTGTGTCTGAATTGAGCTAAGAGTATGAAAAGTCAAAAAAACATCTCTTTCTCCTCCTTCACTCACAACTTGCAATCATTGTCCTAACCATCCCTTTTACCTTTTCTCCGACTCTGTCTCCAGCTCCACATTCATCACCACAATATACTTCTTCTACTTTAGCAGCCACCGTCTAGCATTTTACCTTCACAATAGAAAAATAAACTTCTTCCATTAAAATTTACAAGCCTATTTGTATTGGGAAAAAACTGAATTTAAATATTGAAGGTGACGTGTCATGACACGTGGACCGGTCAAATAGTCAAAACGTGGTAATCAGTTAGAAGGCACGAGCAATAACAGATGCGGGAGAGAAGATACTTACAGGCACGAGCTATTATTCAAATGAAACGAGACTCGTACCTGTTCGAGTCATTTAAAGTTCGAAGATCAGAAGGAATTGGAGACATGAACCTGATAGCGAAAAAGAGTCCAAATTCAGCATTAAATGTCAAATACGTTAGAGAATTTGTATTTAATATGAATGATTGAGTAACGTTTCTTTCAATATCATTTATTGCTCGTAATTGCCTCATTAAAACAAAGGCATTACACTTTCTCTTAAAAATTAACTATAAAAAGAGGAAGTCACAACATCTGTAGGGGACACAAAAAAATACTACTAGAATATACTTTGTTTTATTTGCTTTCTGATTATATCATTCAAAATTTCTTTCTTATATACTTTTCCGATTATCAGTAACCCGAGTTCTTCTAAATTCGAACTTTGACCTAAAATCTAATTTTTGGTTAAACAAATTGGTTCCGTTACCGGGAATCTGATAATCAGGCATATCTCAATCTAATTTTCTTGATTGCATCAATCATGTCAAACAACAATGACAACACTCAAGGAAACCTAAAAATTCAGACAATCCAACAACTTCAGGGAGATTCCCCACAAGGTTCTCCACGAGGCTCCCCACGACGGTCCCGTGAAGGCACTCCTGATGGATCTCACACAGATGGTCAAGCTCAATTCGAAAATATTGAAACCATGAATGAGGCTCTGCAAAACCTTATTGCCTCTCGAGTCAATAACGCTCTTCAAGCTTTTGTTCGCCAATTACCTGCTGTCCCACCCACGTCTGCTCCAAACAACAACACTTTGGAGAATCCTCGTTCAGGATTGGTTAATGCAGGCAGCGGTGGAACCCCTAGTGAAACACATGAGAGAGACCCAGGTAATCCAGTTAACTCTGATTTACAAAATCTAGTACTAACCTTGCAGAAACAGCTTAAGGAGCAAAATGAACGCATAGAGCAAATACCTGGAGT